AACCATACTTTTTTCTTTTCAACTATTGCTATGTCAGGTGCATTGTGGGCCAAGTGCCTGTCAGTCTGAATTCTGAAGTCCCACAAGATTTTGACTTTCTCATTCTCTAAAACCTTCTGAACCTGATGTTCCAAGTGGTCTTTTTTGTACTCAAATCCAAACTTTTGGCACAATTTCCAGTGAATGATCTTAGCAACACGGTCATTTTAGGTAGTCAGTTTGTGAAATTTTGCTGCACCCACTGATCAAGTGGTCGACTGTCTCGTCTTTCTCATTACAGAGGTGACATTTGCTGTTGGTGGTAACGTTGAATTTTGCCTTCATGTAGTTTGCAGTCTTGAGCTGCCAAAATAAAGCCTTCTGTTTCTATCATCATCGTCGTCATCAACATCATCATCATCCTGTTCTTTTGAGAACTGTGTTGGTTACCACTTGGTTTTTGAGTACAATTCAGGGTGCTAGCTTTTACTTAAACCTTTCTTGGTTCAACATCTGGATAGCTGTATACCAATTTTCCTACTAATTTTTCAGCTTGTGGGAAGTGGCCAATACTGGGCAAAAATCATTTAGTTCTAATCCTATTTATTTTACATACTTTTTACACATATTATATTTTGATGACCTATCTTATTTGCTCAGTGTTGAATATTATGTCTACAATTTGAAGGTGCTTCTGACAAGGACAAAGAAAGATCTTTCCATTTGATAAAATGGCGTAGGATAGTCTCTTTGTATCCTATCACTTGGCATTACCATTTGCAGGAGTTGCCCCTCTCCTCTGAACAAATACACATCTAGCAGTGTTTTGTGTTGCTTTTTCCACTGTGTTGAAGAGGATAATCTTCTATATTATTTTTTTGCTGCTCAGACCTTAAAAATATAATAATTCCTATTCTCGGATAGTATTTTGTTGTCTTTAACATTGTATTTTTATTTGTTGAATTGTAAGAATCTAATTTTGCTCTGTTTTTTCAGGACTTATAATTTCTCTTCAAATTGTCCGTGGAGAAATGGAACAAATTCGAAGAGAATATCCTATTATCTTTAACAGAGGGGTGTCTATTACAAGAAAAATAGGATTCCCAGATGTGATCGTGCCTGGTAAGTGAATGAAAGTTTCATTTATAGTACTTACTGAATGCTCGTCTTTATCATTGTAAATAGTACTATAAAATAAATATTAAATAAAAGATATAGCTGAGTGATTTAATTGTAAATAATAATATTCTACTAAAAATAACTGGACACAATTAAAGATTATACAAGAATGTCCTTTTTAGTTTTTTTCCCCATGAAACCCCTCCTTATAATGTGCATAGAGTTATAAGTCCAATTATAATTTGATAATGGTTGCTATTCTGCTTAGGTTTTAAGTCTGGGGATGAATTTTTATAGATGGTTTTAATGCAGCACTTTTTTTCTTTCTAAATGTTACTTTAGATGATATCAGCATGTTTTAGAAATCAATCTTAAATTAGAAATGAATGCATATATACAATGTATGGGTCTTCTAACTAGTTCTCCACATGCCTGTCTTGGTTTTAAGCCACAGTTATGCATTAGTGTAAGAAACATTGTATTAGTAAGGATTATGTTACTCATGAAATCCCTTTTGTGGGCCCTAAATAATATCAACATTGAAGTAGCAGTTTTTAATGCTGTATGGGATACTGCTTTCAGAATGAAAATGGTTTTAAAAGCACTTTGATCATGTATCAGCTTTCAGCAAACAAACATTTCCATTGTTTTGATTCTTCCTTATTGAAACATTTGACTTTCATCTTCTTTTAGTACTTCAAGAAATCAATTACAGTATCAAAAAATATTACAATTATAATTATAAGAGGTTAAAAAAGGTACTTGTACTTTCAAGAGCTTTTTTAGTTCTCTGTCACTATTGAATTTTAGTACAAGGAGTATTTTTAATTAATACAAAAGGCAGTTACAGATAAACTTGAAATGAATTTGTTTATATTTAGTATTTTATTTTTTGGTGTTTTGTACCACAATAATTTTATATTAAAGAACAATATAAAACTGCTGATTTCAGTATCAAGCAATATTTTGCACTTTTGTGTTCTGAGATTGGTACATTTACAAAATACAGGAGATGACCCATTCAGTTTTTGAAAAACAGAATGGGCCATTTTCTGCTTTAATAGAATACTTTATGAAATTTTACACCCATTATTTCAAAATGAATCATTTTCCAATTTTTAGAACAGTAAACAATAATACAACTGATGGTAATTATGTGTGTTTGATACACTATGACTGCAATGGCGAACCTTTTTTGGCTCGTGTGCCATAAGTGGGGGGAGTGCAGGGGGGGTAGTGTGCAGGCGTGCCGCACCCATAATGCAATGCAGGATTCCCCTCAGTGTGCATGCACGCACTACAGGCGCTCTCCCCCCATTTTTGCATGCTTTTTTTGCCCTCCCCAGGCTCCAGAGGCTTTATAGGAGCCGGGGGAGGACGAAAACAGCCTCCCCCACCACCCTCGGAAGCCCTCCGGAGGCTTCAGGGACTCCAGAGCAGCCAAAATGACCCTCAGAGCAAACCGGAAGTCATTTCCTGTTTGCTTGGAACATTGTTTTAAGCGCTCCAAAGGCTTCAGGGACCTTCAGAAGGCTTCCCTGAAGCCTTCGGAGCAGTCAAAATGATCCTCCGAGCAAACTGGAAGTTACTTCCGGTTTGATCGGAGGGTTATTTGAGTGCTCCGGAGGCTTCAGGGACCTTCAGGAGGCTTCCCTGAAGCCTCCGGAGCACTCAAATAACCCTCCGAGCAAAGCGGAAGTCCGTTCCCGAACTTCCGGTTTGCCCATAGGGCCGTTTTTTTGCGCTCCGGAGGCTTCAGGGAAGCCTCCTGAAGGTCCCTGAAGCCTCCGGAGNTTTTGTCGGCCCCCCGCACCTTTACCAAGCTCCTTGCGGTGGTGGCGGCCCCTCTTTGCTCAGTTCCGGTGAGAGTGAATTGTTATTTAGACGACATCTTGGTCTTGTCACCGTCCCGGGAACAGGCTCTGTGGGATCTTCAAGTAACAATGGACTCCCTGCGGAGGCACGGGGTCGTGCTGAATCTTCCCAAGAGTCATCTGCAGCCAACTACATTGCTGCTTCACTTAGGGATCGTCATCAATTCCGCTACCTGCAAAGTCTTCCTGTCCCTGGAGAGATGACAGAGCATCCAACGGCTGGCATCTCAGGTATCAGCCTTGCGACTTGTGCCCCTGGCCCTACTCTCTCAACTGTTGGGAAAGATGATTTTCTGCATCGACATCATTCCCTGGGCCAGGTTTCATGCACGACCACTCCAATGGTTCCTGCTTCCCTATCAGAGGTCCCACACCAGTCATTCACAACTCAAGGTCCGCCTTCCGCCCAAGCCCCTCAGATCATTTCAGTGGTGGGCGTCTTCCAAGATCCTCAAGGGATGCCCATTCAAGGAGCTGGACCGCATCCAGGTTACGACAGATGCCAGCCTGTTTGGATGGGGCGGCCATGCCCTGGATCGGGTGGCGCAGGGTCGGTGGTCGGACCGGGAGCTGTCCAACAGCATCAATTGGCTAGAGTTGTGGGCCATCCATCTGGCCCTGCGAGAATTCCAGGACATTGTGACTCACAAACACGTTCTGATCTTGACCGACAATGTGGCCTCCAAGGCACATGTCAACCGCCGGGGGGGGGGCACATTCCAGGGCCCTCATGATGGAGGCAGAGAAATTACATCGCTGGGTGGAACCCAGGCTGTTTTCCCTTCGGGCAGAACACATTTCGGGCGACTCCAACATCCAGGCGGACTGGCTGAGCAGAGCCACAGTAGATCATGCAGAGTGGCAGCTCCACCCCGACCTATTCCAGCAGCTCTCCCGCCTGTTGGGCCATCCAGTAGTGGATTTGTTCGCGTAACCCCACAATACGCAACTGCCCCGGTTCTACTCCAGGTACGTGACTCCCGGGGCGGAGGGAGTGGATGCCTTGCGCAGCCTGTGGCCGCCGGGCCTTCCCTACGCCTTCCCGCCTCTGCCAGTGATTCCGGCGGTCATCCAGAAGATTCTGTCGGAACGAGCAGAGGTCCTCTTGGTGGCTCCGATGTGGTTCCGGCGAACCTGGTATGCCGACCTGGTGCACCTGTCGATCTCGCGTCCATGGAGGATCCCGGACGATCAGATCCGGCTCAACCAGGGGGCCCTCGTACATCTGAACCCCCAGTTGCTACAATTAGCCGTGTGGCACGTGAGCGGACTATCCTGACTGACCTTCATTATTCCAGCGAGGTCATTGACACAATTCAAGCAGCCCATCGTCCCTCCACCACTCAAATTTACGAGGCTACCTGGCAGTCCTTCTGCAGGTGGTGCCGTCGAACTGGAGCGGATCCTCTCCAAGATTTGGTGCCCCGAGTATTGGACTTTCTGCAATCTGGACTTAACAAAGGTTTGGCACCCAATATGCTTCGCAGGCAGGTCACGGCCCTTG